TCCCGTCGTGCGGCCAGTCCCACTGTTACGCGTCTCCTCGCTACAGTTGTCACTGACCCGACCTTTGAGTCCTCTGCTGCGTCTGCTCTGGTCGCTGAGCTGGTTGACTTTGCTGCTCGCTGTCGCTTAGACTACGCTGCCAGCCTTGTCGCTGAGTCTGAGTCTGAGTCTGCCTGTCCTCCGTCCGTCGGGGGTGAGTGTGCTCTTGGCACGGACGTCCTTGAGGACAGACAGGAGGAGTTCCAGTGCTTTGCTGCTGCTTTGCCCCATCTCGTGTCCATGCTTGTTGCCCCTGAGGGAGACCCGGATGCACCAGACATCCCGACCCCGCGCTCTTACGCTGAGGCGATGGCGGGTCCCTACTCCTCTCAGTGGCAGACAGCCATGGACGCAGAGATGGCTTCCTGGAAGTCCACAGGCACCTACGTCGACGACGTTCCCCCTCCTGGGGCGAACATCGTCAGTGGCATGTGGATTTTCAGGGTGAAGCGGCCGCCGGGTTCTCCTCCTGTCTTCAAGGCACGCTACGTGGCTCGAGGCTTCAGTCAGCGAGAGGGAGTCGACTTCTTCCAGACCTTCTCCCCCACCCCGAAGATGACCACTCTTCGGGTGCTGCTGCACATAGCCGCTCACCGCGACTACGAGCTTCACTCACTTGACTTCAGCACTGCTTTCTTGCAGGGCAGCCTGCACGAGGAGATCTGGTTGCGCCGCCCTCCTGGCTTCACTGGGTCGGTTCCTCCTGGCACCCAGTGGAGGCTTCAGCGGCCAGTCTACGGTCTCCGCCAGGCGCCACGTGAGTGGCACGACACACTGAGGACGACGCTTGCAGCTCTTGGGTTCGCTCCCTCTACTGCTGACCCGTCGCTGTTTCTACGCACCGACACCTCGCTGCCGCCGTTCTACATCCTCGTGTACGTTGACGACTTGGTCTTTGCCACAGCTGACACAGCGGCACTCGCCCACGTGAAGTCGGAGCTGCAGAGGAGACACACGTGCACAGACCTGGGTGAGCTGACAAGCTATCTTGGCTTGCGGATCACCCGGGACAGAGCACGGCGCACCATCACCTTGACTCAGTCACACATGGTGCAGCAGGTTCTCCAGCGCTTCCGCTTCACGTACTCCTCGCCTCAGTCCACTCCTCTGCCTACCGGTCACTCGCTCTCAGCTCTGCCTTCGGATGAGTCCGTAGAGCCGAGTGGCCCGTATCCAGAGCTTGTGGGCTGCCTCATGTACCTGATGACCTGCACTCGACCTGACCTTGCATACCCCCTTAGCATCTTAGCACGCTATGTCGCTCCTGGCCGTCACAGGAAGGAGCACATGGATGCTGCTAAGAGGGTGTTGCGCTACTTGTGCAGTACGTCGGGCATGGGGCTTGTGCTTGGAGGGCGGGACCGGGTTGTTCTCACAGGGCACTCAGATGCTTCTTGGGCAGACGACCAGGCTACTCAGCGGTCGTCACAGGGTTACACCTTCAGCCTTGGCTCTGGCTCAGTTTCTTGGCGTTCTACTCGTTCGTCTTCTGTTCTCAGCTCCAGTTGTGAGGCTGAGATCTACGCCACAGCCATGGCTGCTCAGGAGCTGCGCTGGCTGACCTACCTGCTGACCGACCTGGGTCTGACCGACCTCGGAGAGCGGCCTCGTTCTCCTCCAGTGCTGTACGTCGACAACAAGGCTGCCATTGCCTTATGTGAGGAGCACAGACTGGAGCACAGAACGAAGCACATTGCTCTGCGGTACTTCCTTGCTCGAGAGCTGCAGCAGCGCGGTCAGCTTCGTCTGCGTTACGTGGCCACTGAGGCCAACACTGCTGATGTGTTCACCAAGGCACTCCAGCCTTGTGACCATCAGCGCTTCTGTACTCTGTTAGGCCTTGTGCCTACTGGCCCTCACTTGCTCACTTCTTGACTTTGCCTGTACTGTGATCACTATATATTTATATACCTGCATGTTTACTCTTGCTAGGTTGTGATCATTGTACGTCTTGCTCTATTATAAACCTGCATGTGAACTGGTCTTGTGACCGCTTGTTTGTGCTCGGAATTTGTGTGGAATCCTCGAGATCCACCCTGAGCTTGTTTGCCTTACTTTGCCTTGACTGGTCTTGTGACCCCTAGGTCTCCCCCACTTTGCCTATGGGGGTGTGTCAAACATTATATATGTTTGGTTTGTTAGGCTACAGTGGGTTAGCCTGTATGGGGTACACAATTCTAGGGTTAGCTATTTGTACTGATTTCTCTGTTAGTTCAACCATTCCAGTCTCGTAATCTTGACACTCTCTCTCTCTCTCTCTCTCTCTCTCTCTCTCTCTCTCTCTCTCTCTCTCTCTCTCTCTCTCTCTCTCTCTCTCTCTCTCTCTCTCTCTCTCTCTCTCTCCTCCCTCCCTCCCTCCCTCCCTCCCTCCCTCCCTCCCTCCCTCTTGCCTTTCTTCTGTTGTGTGTGCAGCAATGGTGAAGGTCCGGAAGAGTTTTTGGAGAACATTGCACAAGATTTTGGATTTTGCAGAAGATACTCTTATAATTTTGTGGCGTTCGATGCTTGTTTTTTTTTACCCTGAACTTTCGACTTGGTAATAGACTGGTTGGCCGGGTTTATTGGAGCGCGAGAACGTGGGGTGAGCGAGTCGAGGTACTAGCATTCAATGCTTTTTTTTTTCCTTAACTTTCGACTTGGTAATAGCAGGGTTGGTCTGATTTATTGGAGCGCGATAACGCAAGGTGACAGAGTCGAGGTGCTCTAATCGGTAATGCTTTTCTTTTACATAGTTAATTAACTTGCACCCGTTAAGTTTATGTGTTGTGGGAATGCTAATTGCATCCACATTTCCATTGCATTAATAACGCACGTCTGTGTGTTTTAAAAATGGGGATCATATTATCATTTCCCATAAGGTTCTTTGCGCACTCAGTGAGTGTGTCCACTTGAACTGGATTTGATAGTTTTGACCTTGTTTTTGGGATACACAGATTGTGTTATTTCATGTGATCGTTGAATGGTTGAATGCTAGCCTATTGACTTCCCCCCCCCATGTTAGAGCAGGGGATGCGATAGACTAGTATTTTCGTTCATTCCACATCACTCATTTCTATCATAAAATAAATGCAGTATATTATGCATGTAAATGCATATCATCTACTATGCATGTCACAATGGAATCACTCATTTATTTCTCATATGTACATGGTATACATAGTACGACATGCCATTTATATACACGCATATATACAAAGAGCATGGAAAATAGCATGAACAAAATCGATACATGTGTCATGAGAGTGATGCAAATACTACAACGCACAATACAAAAAAGTAGTTCCGTTTGTGTCCATTTATTTTATTTTAAAACCGAAATATAAAATAATGAACCATGTCACAGCTTGAAACGGTGCCTCAGGGATCGGGCCGATAGTGGACTGTTCCAAACAAAACAAGTACCGTAATCCCCCATATATAGGACCCTAGGGTCTTATGATAATCACCCCTAAAAAGGCTGGGGGGGGATATTTATATGGTATATTTTTTAGAAGACCCGCGTCTGTTCATTTTGACATTTATAAGAATGCCTTTTGGAGCTCAAATTGTACATTCCCGTCTTGTAATTTCAATCGAATCGGACTTTTACAGAGGCACTGAAACAGAATCGCGCGAGGGCGATTCTCTGACGTTGCACAGAGCTTTGGCACGTCAAATTGCCCGCGTGCCAGCTCATCCTGACTGGACATGCAACCAGTCAGGACCCTGAAAGTCAAACAAAGTGAAAATGGGTGCTGACTCGCTTGAAAATCGAAATTCGCTACCGTTTCAATCAGGTATGAAAAATAATATTAAGCATGCGCGTATAATAGAACATGGTTTTACAGGGGGGCGCTTATAATTGAGTTCCGGATGTACGTTCATGGGTTTAGGGTCTCTTAATAAACATGGAATATGACAATTTTCAATTGCATTTTTGTAAAATCCGCACTTCTCTAGGATGTGGGGGGGGGGGGGGGTTTTATAATGTTATGAGCCATTTAGGGGGTACAACTCAAATGTACTCGAATAGAGTACCCGGGTCCGTATTATATGTCAGTATCCCAGTCACTAACCACTGGGATAAAAGGGCTTGTTAATATAGCGGGTGAGTGCGCCCATAACCCCCCAGGCCGACGTGCCTGTAACCCTTCCCTAGGATCATCGGGGATCTCCAGTGGACCTCTGACACCCCCCCGCACTGGGATGCCCGAAGTGCACACACCGGGAATCGAACCCGAGACCTTCGCTCTGATACCATATTGGAATCTAGAATAGAACGAGAATGGATGAACTAGCAGGAAGGTGGGTACAAGTATGAAAGTACAAGTATGACATTATAGACCCGGGGGTCTACAACTGGGGGGGGCCCTATATACGGGGGATTACTGTAGCGCTTTGAACAAATGTGATTGGCTTTCGCCAATCTTTTTCCCGCCATTCACAACGGGACTCGTCTAGAGTGTAAAAAAAAAAGGAGCACAGCACTTCCAACTTTCTGAAGCGTTCCAAAACTTCTATTTTCAAGTGGACCCAACTAGAAGGGGGGGGGTCACTATTTTAGCTGCTGGCTTTAAAGAAATGAACCATATTAAATTGTTGTAATAATAAAAAGTATGTTTTTTTCTTAACTGCGAAAAAAAAAACTTCTACGATGGATTGTAAAAGGTTGCTTCGCAACCCAAAAAAAAAAAAAAAAAAAAAAAAACAAGGGTGGCGGTTATAATGTGTAAGGCACATGTATGCGGTTATAATCCATAAGCCTTTTAGGTATGCGCTTATAATCGAGCACCGGATACAAGTGCCGGGCGCCAATTAAAAGCGCCAGGCGCTTATCCGCGGGTGGCGCTTATATCCGGGGTATGACGGTACATGTTATTACCAGTCAGTCCATTATTTCTCCTTTAAAAGTTTTGACGATTCATGGTCGTGCTGTTGTTGCGGTAAGTATGGGAATATAATATCGATACCGGTATCACAATATGAGTTTCGTTATTTTTTATTGCTCCATGGTTATTGAACCTTTTGTGAGGTCTTTCTCAGCAATCCTCATATTTTGGTGCAAAGACAACCATCTGTGATCTAATATTTAATCCAACAGACCTTATTGCGTATGAACCAGATTGAATCTTCTGGGCCACTCCAAGGCGGCATTCGCGGTTGGCTGCCAGCGATTCCCGCAATCACCCATGGCTTTCCCCCTCTCTCCGAATTAGCCCACTGTATTCCGTCTCTGCGTCATCATCGCGTCGCATATCGTCATGCAGCAGATTCCCGCCGTCGCCAGCGCGTCCGCCGAGGCGATGTATCGCGATGTCGTGCATCGCCGCTGGGCGCGCGCGTTTCTCTTCCACCTGCTCGCCATCGGCCCCTTCCTCTTCCTCTGGGCCGCGCCGCTCGTCCTCCGCGCGGGCCTCCTCCCTTCGCTCCTCTCCTTCTTCTCTCTACGCCTCTACCTCGCTTTCGCGATTTTCGATTTTTCGCAACTGCTTTTCGTTCTCGCTCGCCACGCCATCGTCGTCGCCGATTCCCCTCCCCTCCCCTCCACCACCTCCCTCCTCGTTTCCGCCGCAAATCTCGGCGGATTTGCCGGCACATCAGATCCAAACCCGCTCGTGCATCAAGACCAACAGATTCGCGCAGCGGATGGCGGGTTTCGCGGGCCCGCCAGCCAATGCGAGGCGGAAGCGGCTAGGGCGACGCTGGCGGGCCGCGCCAAGTTCGCTGCTCTCTGCGCCGCGGCGGGCGCCGCAGGGGCGATCGCGCTCTCGCTCTTCCGCGCGCAGCTTCTGGGCGGCGCGGCGGAGATCGAATCCAACGGCGCGTGGCGGGGGGACGCCTGGGCCGTGGCGGGCGAGGCGGGGTTCGGCGGCGCGGTGGGGGTGCTGTTCGCGGCGTACCACGTGGTGCGGCGCGACTACCTCCTCGCCTTCCCCGTGCTGCAGGTGCGCTCCCCATGTCTCACCTCCCCATGTCTCGCCTCCCCATGTCTCACCTCCCCATGTCTCGCCTCCCCATGTCTCACCTCCCCATGTCTCACCTCCCCATGTCTCGCCTCCCCATGTCTCACCTCCCCATGTCTCGCCTCCCCATGTCTCACCTCCCCATGTCTCGCCTCCCCATGTCTCACCTCCCCATGTCTCGCCTCCCCATGTCTCACCTCCCCATGTCTCGCCTCTCTGTGTCTCAAATATCCGCGCCCCTTTGAACCCACAACCCTACATCCCAAACCCAAGTTCCTGCCCTAAATTTTCCCCCCTCTCCCTGTCTCTATGCCATCCCGCCACACCCCATTCCCCTCGCAGCGCGCCCCGTTCTACCGATTCAAGACGGCCCTCCCGCGCTGCGCCACGTCAGCAGCCACGTTCGGGTGCATCACCGCGCTGCTCTACTGCCTGCTGCTCCGCCCGCTGCTGCTGCCCCTCCTCGCCACCGCCGCCACCACCGCCACCGGCATTCCCCTCCCCTTTCTCGCCGCCCCACCTCTGTCCATCCGCTCTCTCCTCCTCGCCCTGCTGGCCTGCCTGCACGGCGTGGCATTCCTCGCCTTCTCCTGGGAGGCAGCAGCAGCTGCCACGGACATCTTCCTCACGCACCGCCACCTCTTCCTTCCCCCGCCCTCCTCGCCCACCTCCCCCATCGCCCCCCTCCTCCTCGCCCTCTCCCCCTCCCCGTCCCCCGCCCCTCCTCCGTCCCCGTCCCCCCTGCCCATTCTCACCCTGCCCGCGCCCTCCGCCCTGCGCCGCCTCGTGCTGCACTGGGCGCTGCTCGACCTCTCGCTGCTCGCCGAGTCAGAGGCTGACACGTGGCGTCGTGCGGCGCTGTTTGAGTCGCAGGAGGCGTACGGCGCGGTGGTGGCGGCGTGCATCCGCCCCATCGATGCCATGACGCTCAGAGTCGCTGCTGCCGCTGGTTACCCCACCGTTACAGGTGCGCTGCAGCAGCAGCAGCAGTACTCGTTACAGTCACCCACGGCTACAGTCACAGGAGCCGGGTTTGCTTCTGCTGACGGGCTGAGGTGGCGGCAGGGGAAGGGCGGAGGAGAGGGCGTGGAGGGGCAAGCGCTGCAAGGGGGGTTTGCCTGGAATGGAGGGGTGAGATCAGATGAAGGGGGGAGTGGATTGGGTGTGGGCGGCACGGAGCAGAGGAGAGGCGGGGGGAGAGCGCCCAGCGTGGCCGAGGTGTTCTTCGACTGGCAGGTGAGAGGGCGGCGGGTTTGGTGATGGTTGAGGTGACCCAAATGCCACGCCATGGCATGTCATGACATGCCTTGCCATGTGCTGGCCTGTCTTGGCATGCCATGCCGTGCGATCTCATCGTGCTGCGCCACATTCCTGCCTTCCTGCACCCGCCGCAAAATAACGAGGTGACTTTTCAGTCAACTCAAAAGTCTCCTCCTAATCCCTCCCCTCCAACTGTCCCCTCCATCTTCCCCCTCCATCTCTCCCCTCCATCTCCCCTCCCATCACACCAGCTGTGCGCCATGAGCATACGAGCGCTGGCAGCGCTGACAGCAGCATCACGGGTGGAGGACCGCATGGGTGTGGCGCAGATAACGGGTGCCAACGCCGCGGTGCTCTCCGCGCTGCTGTCGGCGCTGCTCGCCCTCGACTCGCTCCTCCTCTCCCCCTCCCACCGCCACCCCGCCGCCCCCGCCACCTTCTCTGGCTTCGGGGAGGAAGCTTCCTCGCAAGCGACGCCTCCGGGTGCCTTCCAACCTGCCTTCTCCCACCAGACCTCAGCTCTAGCCTCGGGAAGCGGAGGATTATTCGGCACGCCGACCCTCGGTCTTAGGTATGGAGGTACTGAAGCAAGTGGTTCGGCAGTAGCAGGTGTGGGAGGTGGGGGCGGGGCGGTGGGGAGAGCAGTGTACGGCGAGGGGGTGGTGGGGCCGGTGTGGGGCGAGGCATGGGCCATGGCGGATGTGGTGCGCACCGCTCTGTACCGCATTGCAGAGACGTTTGGGGAGGAGATGGTGGAGAAGGGGGGCGGAGCGATGGGAGGAGGGAGAGGGGGAAGAGGAGGCGGTGGGGCAGGGTCGTGGAGGGTGGATGAGGCGTGGTTGCCTGCTGACATGCGGCCGCTGTTTGGGTCGAGAGAGGCGCATGCAGGCAAGGTGCTGTCGCTGCTGGCACACACTGAGTAGCCGGTGCACAGCTGTGCGGTTTTGTCTTGGTTTTGTAGTCTTGTAAGGAAGTGCTTACACACTAATTTGCGTGGAGCAGCAGCAGAGTGTCGGTCAATTGCAGTAACGTTGGTTTGATGTGATGGAAAGAGCACAGCACATCGTACCGATGCGTTCTTGGCCCGCATGTGGCAGCAGTTTGACATGTGAGAAGAAAGCAAAACACATTAACGCTGGTATTCACAATATGTACAAGCATGGCACGCACGTTCCAACACACATCCAGTCCAACTTTGAGAGGTCATATCCACCCACACGTGCATCAAGGGCACTGACTTCCACGTGCTGTAACCTGTTTCTCACTCCACCACTCTGCTATGCGCCCGCCACATGCGTCTTGGAAGGGGCCTCCTCACCCCCATGCTCCACCTCCTTCGTCCCTCCTCCCACCTCCTTCCCTGCACCCCTACGCTCAGCCTCACCCGTACCTTCCCCCTTGGCTTCGCTCTTCCCCTCGCCCCCCTCGGGCCCCTTCCAGCCGCTCTCCTGCAGCCACTGGCGCCATGTCTTGAGGTGCGGGTTGCAGCGCCGCGCGTTGCTGATGTCGTGGCAGCCGAAGTACGTGTGCTGGGAGAACCACCGGAACATCTGTGCGGGGGGCACAGGAAGGGGGGACAATGGATGAGAAAGGAAGTGGAACGCTGCTTGAGACATGACATATCATGCAGCACGGTAAGGACCAACGAGGCCACAAGTGAAAACACTGAACCCGTTCCCTCATCCCCGCCCCAGCCTGCCCCCTGGCCAGAGTGCAGGCGCTCCTCCCCATCCCCCCTCACCTGCGTCCACTCCTCGGAGGCGGCCTTGTCAGTGGTGTGCAGGCGGGCAGGATGGCCCGTGACGCGGTGGAAGTCGGAGATGTACTGGTGCACGGGGGCGTGGTAGCCCGCCAGACACATGTACTCGCCCTGTGAGGCTCATGCGGGCGCAACAGCAGCAGAGGCAGAGAGAGGGAGGGAGAGAGAGAGGGAGAGGGAGAGGGAGATGGTGAGGGAGAGGGAGAGGGAGAGCTAGCTAAGCAGAGAAGCAACACAGGGACGGGCAAGCACGAGCAGGTGACTTGGTCTCTCCAGTGGAGCCAGGGCGAGAAGAAAGCACTCACGTCCCAGTCATCCGGGTGGTCAAGGGCGTTGAGCACAGCAGCACCGGTGTCGTCCACATCAAAGGCCGTCAGCATGTCATCGGGTCCCATGGGCAGCTCAAACACCACCGTGCCGTCTGCCTCCTCCCTGCCCCGCCCCGCACACGGCACACATGCGAGAAGCACAGGGTGGAATGTTAAGGCAACGCGCAGGTTGAAAGTGTTAGAGCAGATGGCAGGCAACGACGGACAAGGTGGAAGGGCGAGAGGACCCACCTGGTGAGATTGAAGTGAGAGAAGTTCTGATAGTAGAAGGCGCACATGACGAACGTGTGGTGCTTGAAGCCGCTCGCCCTCACCACCTCCTCCACCTGCCAGGACGAGATGACCAGGAGAGAGGGCACAGAGCAACGGTGCCAGGGTGGGTGCAGGAGTTGAAAACCCGAGAGAAACCTGGTGTGTGGCACCCGGCGTGGGGCAGCAGGGGCATAAACGCAAGGCCTGGAGATAAGGAGAGGCATGCGGTAAGGCAGCATCAGGGGATACAGCAGCGGAGCAGGGAAAGAAGGGAGCGAGCGAGAGGCATGCACCTTGGCCTTGCCGGTGAAGTGCGGCACGTTGAGTTGGCCCTTGGAGAGGCGGTGCACGTGGGGCAGTGTGCTCCACACCACGTGCTGCACGCCCGCCCCCCTCGCCTCCTCCACCACGCCCCTCCCCACCTCCTCCTCGCGCTCGCCCAGCGAGTAGTAGTCCGTCACCTGCCCGCCAGGGGGGGGAGTGGCAGCAGCGGGGTGTGGAGAACCGGTTTGGAAAGAAAAGGTGCATCAGAGCAAGAGCACCGCCACTGTCAAAACGATGGTCACTGGAAAAAACGCTTGTGTGCCAAAAGAAAAAAGCACAGCCGGCAAAGCAAAGAAACATTGCGGCTAGGCTACAGCGTGCTACGATAAGTTGCTGGTCACGGGGATTATAAAATCCCAATGGCGACAATAAAATTGCAAGGGGGGGGGGGGGGGGGGGGGGGGTAAGATTTCTCACCACGAACGCGCCATATGCGCCCTCCAGCGCCGCCCGCACAGCCTGGCGGTCCGCCTGGTCGGCCTGCGCCACGTCCACCTTGGCGTCCCTCAGATGGGCGGCGCGCGGCGAGTCGGCGTGGCGCGTGACGGCGCGGATGCGGTAGCGCCCGCTCGCCAGCAGCGCCGCCACCACGCTGCTACCCTGCGCGCCTGGGGGGGTGCGGGGAGGAGGAAGGGGAGGGGGGGGAGGCCGGGTTGGATTGTGTGCGACGGACACAAGTGAGCGTGGAGAGCCGTGGCGAGGCGCGGAGAGGCTCACCGGTGGCCCCGAAGACGACGACGAGCGGCTTGTCCGGCGCCGTGTGCGGCTCGCCGGAGCGCACTGTGAGACGGCGCAGGGACGACGTCAGATGCCCCCACATGCTGCCGTTGCGCGACTTGATGCGACGATTGCGACGATGCGATGAGAGGAGAACGGGATGACGGAGGAACGGACTGAGAACCGTGGGATGAGACGGACTGTGAACGAGGCGGCGGGTGTGGCGATTATGAAAGAACTCGGTGAGCGCAAGTGAACAGACGCGATTCACAGGGGCCCGCTCGAGAGGTGAGGACTTGCACGGGCGAGTGGGAGGAAGAGCAGCGCAACGAGCGGGACAGACTGCCTCGCGGCGCTTCGGTCGAGCGCGCCGTGAACACGGCGGAGGCGCGCAGCAGTCGAGAGCGACAACGACAACGACGGTTCACATTCGCGGACATTGAGAGGCAGGCAGCTCTACTTTACTCGACATTCTTCGTGAAAGTAATGGCGCAGCGCGCTAGACACTCGCGGCGAATCGGCGGTGTGCTTGCATGCGCGCCGCGCGGGTGCATGCACGCGTCGGGTGTGCTCATGCGAGCGAGCTGCATCGCCGCAAGGCCTGCTTACGCGGCGAGTCGCGGCAATGCGGTGGTTTGACGAACGCCTGCCGCTGTGGTGCGCATCTCGCGAGCAAGGCGAAGCATGACCAGGGCATGATGATACATGCATCGATCACTCACCAAGGCACACCTGGAATCTCCTCTGCTGCGAAGGACAAGCGACTCCTACACCCTCGTAGGGCGTGTCACATGCCTCGAGGCATGTATACATGTGTAAGGGCGCGGTATACATGTATATATGTATAAGGGCGCGGTATACATGTATACATGTACACCGTTTCCCCGAGGCATGTACACATGTATACATGTGTAAGGGCGCGGTGCTTTTGAATCAAATTTCAGAAAACCAGTCGAACAGAAGCTGGTTACCAGCTTTGCGAGTGTCTCAGATCATCTCGCAAGCAACCAACTCGGAGTTCGAATACGCTCTGGTAAGTCAAGGAACCAAAATGTTAATCGACTTCGATTTCGAACGTACGTTCGAATCCAGCTCTTGAACGTGGTTCAGTATGACACTGGATATTGACGACAGCGCAGATCCACAGGCACCTACGTCGATGAGGTTCCCCCCCCCTGGGACACTGAACGTTCAGTAGCAGCGCGAAATTGGCGGATATTGACGACATCTACAGATCCACAGGCACCTACGTCGATGAGGTTCCCCCCCCTGGGACGAACGTAGTCGATGGCATGTGGATCTACAGGGTGAAGCGGCCACCGGGATCTCCTCCAGTCTTCAAGGCGCGCTACGTGGCTAGAGGTTTCAGTCAGCGCGAGGGAGTTGACTTCTTTCAAACCTTCGCGCCTACCCTGAAGATGACCACTCTTCGGGTGTTACTACACGTAGCAGCACAGAGAGACTACGAGTTACACTCTCTCGACTTCTCCACTGCTTTCCTTCAGGGCAGCCTACACGAGGAGGTCTGGCTACGTCGTCCCTCTGCCTTCACTGGCACTTTCCCTCCTGGGACCCAGTGGAGGCTGAGGCGACCTGTCTACAGTCTTCGCCAGGCCCCTCGCGAGTGGCACGACACTCTCCGCTCTACCCTCTCTGACCTTGGGTTCCAGCCGTCTTCTGCCGACCCGTCGCTGTTCATTCGTCGTGGCTCCACACCGTTCTTTGTTCTGGTCTACGTCGACGACCTCGTTTTCGCCACTGCTGACAGGGTTGCTTTGGCAGACGTGAAGTCCGAACTGCAGAAGAGACACACGTGCACTGACCTTGGTGAGCTGCGCCACTACCTTGGCCTGCAGATCACCAGGGACAGAGCTGCTCGCACCATTACACTCTCACAGTTATACATGGTACAGTAGGTCCTTCAGCGGTTCGGGCTTCAGCACTCCACAGTACAGCGCACACCTCTTGCTGTTGACCACAGACTCACTGGACCCTTTCCTGACGAGCCGTTTGAGCCTAGTGGTCCCTACGCAGAGCTTGTGGGTTGCCTCATGTACCTGATGACTTGTACTCGCCCGGACCTCGCCTTCCCTCTCAGCGTCCTTGCGCGCTTTGTTGCGCCAGGGAGACACCGTCCTGTTCACTGGACAGCAGCTGTGAGGGTGGCGAAGTACCTAGCGACGACATCAGGCGTGGGGCTAAATCTTGGAGGGCAGCAGTCTGTCGTACTTACTGGTCACTGTGACTCTTCTTACGCTGATGGCGCTGAGACTCACAGGTGTACTCAGGGGTACTGTTTCAGCCTGGGCTCTGGAGCTGTTTCCTGGCGGTCCACGTGTCAGAATGTTGTATTTGTCTAGCCTGCAGTGGGGTACTCTATAGCGAGTACAGCCCAATCTAGGGTTTGCTATTTGTATCTCAACTGCTGCTAGTCCAAACCCCTCTTCTTTCTGCTTCTAAACCTTGCCCACTACTTCCGACATGCTATCAGAGCAGGTCGACCCTCCTGGGTCGATCCTGTGGGTGGGCCCACCACCTAAGCCTTCCGCTGCTACTGCTACTGCTACTGCTACTCTGTGTGTCGCACGCCCCGTGGCGTGCGACGGATTTTTCATCCCGCCGTGCGCCCCGAGGTGCGCGGCGGTTTTCTGCCCGCCGTGCGCCCCGTGGCGCGCGGCGGTTTCCTGCCGTGGGGAGCCCGCGCGCGCCCCGCCCGTCCGTTGCGGCGCCCTGGGGAGCACGCGAGCGCCCCGCCCGTTCGTCGCGGCGCCCTCGGGAGCCCGCGCACGCCCCGCCCGTTCGTCGCGGCGCCCTGGGGAGCACGCGAGCGCCCCGCCCGTTCGTCGCGGCGCCCTGGGGAGCCCGCGCGCGCCCCGCTCGTTCGTCGCGGCGCCTTGGGGAGCCCGCGCGCGCCCCGCCAGTCCGTCGCGGCCCCCTGGGGAGCCGTGTCAAACATTATATATGTTGTGTTTGTTTAGGCTACAGTGGGTTAGCCTATAGGGGGTACACAATTCTAGGGTTAGGTACTTGTACTGATTTCACTGTTAGTTCAATCATTCCTGTCCGTTCATTCTGACATGGTATCAGAGCAGGTCCTTCACTAGGACCGTTTTAGGGCCCACCGCTACCTACCTACCTACCTACCGTGCGCCCTCGTGCGCCCTCGCGCCCTCGTGCGCCTCTTACTACCGTGCGCCCTCGTGCGCCCTCGCGCCCTCGTGCGCCTCTTACTACCGCGCGCCCTCGTGCGCCCTCGCGCCCTCGTGCGCCTCTTACTACCGCGCGCCCTCGTGCGCCCTCGCGCCCTCGTGCGCCTCTCCCTACCGCGCGCCCTCGTGCGCTCTTGCGCCCTCGTGCGCCTCTCCCTACCGCGCACGCACGGCCTGCTAGCCACCCGCGCGCGGCCCGCTTTCCGCGGCGTCGTCGCCAGCCCGCGGCGTCGTCGCCTGCCCGCGGCGTCGTCGCCTGCCCGCGACGTCGTCGCCTGCCCGCGGCGTCGTCGCCTGCTCGCGGCGTCGTCGCCTGCCCGCGGCGTCGTCGCCTGCCCGCGGCGTCGTCGCCTGCCCGCGGCGTCGTCCCCTGCCCGCGGCGTCGACCTGCCCGCGGCGTCGCCACCTGCCCGCCGCGTCGCCCTGCCCGCGGCGTCGCCACCTGCCCGCCGCGTCGACCTGCCCGCGGCGTCGCCACCTGCCCGCCGCGTCGACCTGCCCGCGGCGTCGCCACCTACCCGCCGCGTCGCCCTGCCCGCGGCGTCGCCACCTGCCCGCCGCGTCGCCCTTCTCGCCGCGTCGCCCTGACCTAATCCGCCTCTCGCCCCTGGAGCAGCCGCCACTGCAGCAGCAGCCCCTGGAGCAGCCGCCACTGCAGCAGCAGCCCCTGGAGCCGCCCGCCACTGCAGTAGCAGCCCCTGGAGCCGCCCGCCACTGCAGCAGCCCCCTCTGGAGCAGCACGTACCTGCAGCAGCTGCCCCTGGAGCAGCCCGCACCTGCAGCAGCCGCCCCTGGCCCCTGGAGCAACCACCGCTGCAGCAGCCGCCCCTGGCCCCTGGAGCCGCCGCCACTGCAGCAGCCGCCCCTGGCACCTGGAGCAGCTGCCGTCGCGGCCCGGCCTCGCCCTGCAGCAGCTGCCGCGGAGCTCCCTGCTGCGGCCCGGCCCAGCCCTGCAGTTGTAGCAACCCCACTGTCGCCACCGTCTTGCGCCTGCCGCGCCGACCACTGGTGAGCATTGCCCAGCACTGCTACCGCTGCTACTGCTGCTACTGCCTTTTCTACTCCCACTGCCACAGCTCCTGCTGTTACTACTGTTGCTGCCGCTACTGCTACTACTGCTGCTCCTGGCGTGGCCAGATGCAGCTCCAGGGCCGTGCGCGTGAGTCCCTCACGCCCCAGCAGCTTCGTGCGCGTGAGTGGTACGCTAGTTGGGGCTGTCGGGGTGGCCGTAGTGGTGGTCGCTCTGGAGTGGGTCGGTCGGGAGCTTCTGGTAGTGGACAGGTGCAGCTGCCGTGCCCTCCTTCGCCCCAGCTAGTTGGGGCTGTCGGGGTGGCCGTCGTGGTCGTCGCTCTGGAGTGCGTTGTTCGGGAGCATCTGGTAGTGGACAGGTGCAGCAGCAGTGTCCTCTTACGCTCCAGCGGGCCCGAGAGTGGTACGCCAGTTTGGGCTGTCGGGGTGGCCGTAGTGGTAGTCGCTCTGGCGTGCGTTGTTCGGAAGCATATGGTAGTGGACAGGTGCAGCAGCAGTGTCCTCTTACGCTCCAGCGGGCTCGTGAGTGGTACGCGAGTTTGGGCTCTCGGGGTGGTGGTCGTGGTAGTCACTCTGGAGTGCGTCGTTCGGGAGCTTCTGGGCGCGGACCGGTGCAGCTGCCGTGTAGTGTGAGTGAGGCTGCCGCTCTAGGTGCTAGTGAGACTGCCACTGCAGGTGCTCGCGTGTCTGCCACCTCAGGTGATGGTGAGGCTGCTGCTCTAGGTGCTAGTGCGTCCGTGCCCGCTGGTACTGAGTCGACTGCAGCACTGCACACCTTCACACTGGACTCAGGTGCTTCTCGCTGTTTCTTTCGTGACCGCACTGTCCTTGAGCCACTCGCTCGGCCAGTTGCTGTCTCCCTCGC